GTGTTTCTTTTAACTGAGATATCATTTTACTCTTTTACCTCTTTCGACGCTGTGACCGACGGTGCACAGTTCGCCAACTCAGTGATCACTTTGCTCTTACTAGTTGAAGGTTAACATCTACTATTGGCTCTTTATACAGCTGAAACTCAGAATACTCATTAGCAAAGAAAAGAACTATGAATTAAGGCTTAAAAACCCAGCAAGATGAGGAAAACAAATTAGCAGGAAGCTTGGATTTATAACTGATCTTCCTCGGAGGATGCTCGCCCAGTGGTAGAAACGGCCCACCACAGGGGGGCAGCAGAGCGTACTGGAGCGGAGCATGACTGCAGGAGGCGAAGGTTCTGGGTGCCGATCCTACCTCTATTTACCGCCTCTGTGTCTTTGGTAAAGTTTCGTAATTCTTCTGTAGGTCACTCGGTGCCTTGATAAAGTGGGGATAATATGAGAACTGCATCCTAGTAATATTAGCATTAAAGGAATCAATATTTGTACAAAGTCTTAAAACATTTAGTACAGGATAATTTCTTAAATTTAATCAATATTTTTAATGGAAAATTTCTTTTTTTTTCTGAGATAACACTTTTCTTCATTTTGAAAACAAGTACAGTGGTACCTCAGTTTGTTTTATTTTGTTCTGTTTTTGTTTTTTTGTTTTTGTTTTGTTTTTTAATTTTTCTTCCGGTACCAGGAATCGAACTCACAACCTTGTGCTTGCCAGCCAGGTGCTTTGCCACTGAGCTAAATCCCCAGCCCCTCAGTTTGTGAACTTAACTTGTTCCACGACTCTAGAAGAGATGGCCACGCTCATGTTCCTGCAGGAAATGTGACCACAGTCATGTTCATCACCTTGTGCAGAGTTTGTGAACAAAAATTTCACCAGTGGTGCTTAGGTCCACGAATGGGGTCCACAAATGCTTCATGGACTGAGGCACTACTGCGAATACATTTTAGACATTAATGTTAGATTTCCCCTTCTGTGTACAGCAACCAGTCGTACATACTAGTTAAAGAAACAATTTTTGTTGTAGAAGATAGGTTAGTGAAAGAATGATCTGCTTGGGGAGAAGTACTTTTACTTCACTTTGGTTGCCCAGTAACAATGTACTTTGTAGATTTTGTCAACTAACGGGAGTTTAAAGGTGATTCATTAAGTTAGGGTATTCAATTTCTGTATATCATCTGTCATGACAGTCTAACATGGGGAAGGGAGACTAGATTATAAACGAATGTATCCCCTGAACAGTACTAAGTTGTTCAGTTTCAATTGTCACTCAATTTGTTCCTCATCCTTTGAGTGGATTTCACACCAAACCCATTTTCCCTGCTGAGGGCACACTGAGCTTTTTCCTTTCTTCATGCAGGCATGGAAGTACTTCCTTGTTTTGAATCAAACGTTAAACTTCTTTCTTCTTCTTTGACCACATCTTGCTAGTGCCTTCTTGTCTTTTTTCATTGATTGCTTTGTTTATCTGCTATCTCACTTCCTCAGCTAGATCTCTAGCTAACTACAAGGTTCGACTTGGATTTCCTACCATTTCCGCAAAATCTCAATGTCTAAGAGTGAACTCCTTTCTTCTTGTTATTTTAACTTAACTTAGAAAGGCCCTGTCACATACCAAGAGAAGACAATCATTTTCAACAAAGACTCAAATCTTGAATATCAAATGCTTCTAGAGCTAAATAAGAAAAAGACGCAAGCCCCTAGAAGGATGAGAGGACAGTAGGAACACAGTGGATATCAGTGCTGAAGAAAAGGACAGTTGAAAGGCCACCCGGCATGAACAGATGTCATGTTAGTAAACAGCAAACAGCAAAATGAAACCACCATGAGATTCTGTTTCACCTTCCACTTCTTAGTATATATTTTAAGGGGTGACAGTGTCAAAGATGTGGAGCGGTGCACAATCTCAGGCTTAGTGGGTGGGAGTAAATTTTGAAGCAATCATTTCTGGAACAAATTGGGTATCAGATTAAACATATGCAATCCTGTGACCCCGTAATACTACTGTTAGTTATTTAGCAGGTGTATTCTGGGAGTTTTGCACAAATTTCTCCAGTAAACAATCTTTCGAACGGTAAAACCACTGAAGAGAACAGCAGTATCCATAAATAATAAAATGGATATATTCATTGGGATGTATTAGTTCAGTTGTTTACAAATACACAAGAGATGAGCAAACTACAGCTACATCAGTCCCTGTGGATATATCTCAAACACAGGATACTAAACTAAAATGCCACTCGCAGGAAGTTGTAAAGTATGCTTTCCTTTCTGATTATGTAGAGGTGTATATCATAGCCCTCTGTTTCTAGGGTTGTGCTGGACAAACGTTCTTTCTCCTTCATAAGTGATGAATCCATTACATATAGTTCTATGTATGGTACTTTTATGATTAGTATGTAAAGAATGTACATTCTCAGTAGCTATTCTTCATGTTTTAAAAATATTCAGAGGTTCTTCGATGGTATTTTCTCTTGGTCTTAAAACTTAAGCCTCCTACAGTGGAATAGAGTTAAATCTCAACAAAGTATTTTGGAATCAGCTAGTGTAAAAGTTACGTTGAGTAGAACTTGTGTGCCTCTAGTTAATATTATTTCCATAAAAATTATGAAGTAACTATGACATTTTAAATATTTTATAAATCATGATGATGCTGTGATCCTGGCAAAGCTCAAGTGAACAGACAAATATCAAACAGATACTGAGCTGAATGTTTATAGAAAGAATGTAGGCAGAGGTGAACCACAAACACTCTCTAGAAACTCACACTTTCCAAGGCCTTGGACTCAGATCCTGGTAGGCTGCTTCCAGGGCTCTTCTAAATTATTGGGTGCTACCAAAATCAAAATTAGGGGAAGATGTGAAAACCCAGAGACTCCCAGAACTCCGTGATCCTTTCCAGATGGCACGTGTGTTATGTATGAGAATGAGTTTGATCCCAAGAAGGGCGAAAGGAAGGCTTGGTGTATGTTCGTTTTAGATTTTACTTCTACAAATAGCTTTGGAGTTCTTTTCTGATCCTTTCTCCTTTTTGCAGTCCAGCACATAGAGAGTAAGATTTTGTGTTTCTTTCTGTCTTTCTTTTACCCTGAGTTCTCAGCAAAGGTGAAGCCTGCGGTGAAATGTGGTACGGGTGTGTGTGTGGGGTTATCCTTAGGGATGGGCCTGTGAGGTTGGAAATGGCCTCTCATGCTTTGCTGCTTGCTTCCCTTTACCTGAAGTAGCTGTAACAGTGGAGCTGGAGGAATTCCACCCACTCGTATCTTCGTTCAGAACTGAGGGCTCCACAGAGGTAGGAGCATTTACCCCCAGTATTCCAGAGCCACCACAAGCTGTTCCCAGCAAGCTGTTTTTCTTTTTCTTCCTTCTTTCTTTGATTTTCACAAAATTTGCTGAAATTCCATGGGCAGCATGCAATTTTAATGCCAAATACAGAGACACAAAGTAAGTTAGACAGTAGCATGAAGATAAGATTGTTGTGTCTTATTGGTGTTGCAAGATGGGGGATCCCCTTATTAAAGCTGACATCGTACAAAAGGCAAAAATCCACAGAATAAACTAGAACCAATCTTGGAAAGAACTCCATAAACATTTCACATATTGGACAAAAGTATAAAACATTTATCTTAAAAGATTTTATTGCATGTAAGTCGTCCAGAAATAGAAATGTCTTTTAATTGCTCCTCCCACTGACCCTAAAAGAAAATAATTCTAAAATATGGTAGCTCTTCTTAGATAGTGATTTGTTTTCCTGTCTTTTTATTGGGTAATGAAATTTGATAAACACTGTTGTTTAGAGAAACATCAAGAAATATAAAGATGTAAAGTACAAAGGCCCAAAGGAAGTGGAAAAGCCAGGTTTCCCAGTCATTGTTCATACTTACCAATAATGCCTGTGTTAGAAATAGGCACCACTCTCCCAGTAATGACAGTGGGCCCCAATTAGAGAGTCTCACTGTTTTTTCTTTAGTTCATTTGTAAATTTTTTAAAAATTGGTGAAACTTGTTAAAATCAAGTCGTTTGGAAAATATGGAGCCAGCTGAATGGATTCTGGTTTAACAATTGAATTAATTATCTAATCATGCACCAGACTTTTTATTTTTTTATTTTTATTTTAAAAATTAAAAACCTGACAAAACAACAATGAAGACAAAATCAAAACAACACAAAAACAACGAAAAAATGATACATGACCTCAAAACAAAATGAGAGAAATTAACAGTGGTTGCTACATTACATACTGTTATCTTCAACGAAGTTGCTCAGTCCATTAGACATAAGAATATAAAATTAATCAAATAATCAAAGATGGTAACAAGTAAAAAGATATAATAATAATTTTAAAAAAATTGGAAATGATGCAGAGCTTCACCATACAAGATGGTAGGAGTTCAACAATGGTTCTTATACTGCATATTCAGACATTTTTTTTTTAGTGTTTTGATGGTACCCAGTCGTTCAGAGGAACCATGAAATCAGCCTACACAAGCCCAAGTCCGTGGCTGTATAAAGCTCCGGGTTTCTATAGAGGTTCTGTGACTTGCCGCTGCCTATGTTCTTTGTATAAACTTTCATCCCACTATCTCTTTGCTATTTTTGTACGGAGCAGCTGAGGGGAACTGTTACTTAATAAACGCCACAGATTGTTTCAGCCCAGTGTTCGAGAGGGCGGGAGGCTGCAGGGAGAATAAATAAGATGCGCAGAGAAGAGGTAGTTACAACCAAGAGCTGCCCTACACTGTCAGAGTAGAAAAGTCACACACAACCCACACACACATACACAGCTATTTTTTTTCCACTAATGCAGTATTTACTGCTAAAGATGACTTAGTTAGGATTTTACTTGAGCCCCGTTTTGAACCTCCAGCTCATGCAAAGAAGCTTCTGGGGCTGCGTGTCCTTTGGGTTGTACCTTTGATCCGTTCTTACCCAGTCCTATCCTTTGTGTTCCTTCCTTTCCTCACCCATGTTGTCCCCTCCCAACTGAACATGAAGACTGCTGCGTCCACTGCATCCTGGCGTGCCTGTTCTGTGAATTCCTGACCCTCTGCAATATCGTGCTGGGACAAGCTTCCTGCGGCATCTGCACGTCGGAAGCCTGCTGCTGCTGCTGCGGGGACGACGTGGGGGAGGACTGTAACTGCCCTTGCGACATGGACTGCGGCATCATGGACGCCTGCTGTGAATCATCAGACTGCTTGGAAATCTGCATGGAATGCTGCGGAATTTGTTTTCCTTCATAAATATTTATCTTTTGTTTGTGCTAAAACTGGAGAACATTTGTAAAATTTTCTTTGAAGGGGTTGAAAAACACATGGTAGGATTCTATTGGAACAACTCAGTATTTGCACTGCTTAAGTATCTCCTAGACCCTTTGGTTCACCAATCTACATGGTTTAATATGTGACGTTTTAACGATTTGAACTGATTCTCGAAACTTCTTAATGGATTACAATAATGGAAGTACATATGTATACACACACACACACACACACACACACACACACACACACACCCCAAAACGTGTTAAATGAATCTTTTTATTGATATCTGTTTCTTCTAGCCATTCCCAGGAGTGAAGTGCTCGGAATATATGACATCTCAGTGGGTATTAAAACCAGACCACTTATTTTTTGTATTTATCTGCTAGATGTTAAAAGTAACATATTTAGTTTAAACTTTAAGAAACAAACTCACACCATGCCTGGACACCCAGTGTTGCTCTCCAGACGGTTTTCTCTGCCTGCCCCGCTTGTGTAATGGGTGCCGAGTGCCAGTTCTGGCAGGCTTCTCGTCTACGCTTCAGGGATAAATATCTGTCCACCCTTGTCCATAGTAGCAATCAGTGTGGTAGGAGAAAGAGACTGCTAAGAAACAAATGATACCAAAACACATTAAGTGAGAGGTGCAGGAGGGAGAAAAACATAAAAGGCCATAGGAATAAACAGAGAGGGACCACAGGAATATTGGGGAAAATGAGGCATTTAAGCAGACCTCTTAGAATGAGTGATCCATCTGCTACTTAAATGAGTTATTTAGATTTAAGGCAAAGTTTTAGGTAGACAGCCTGAATTGTGCACGTCCATAATCAGTGTGTAGAAAAGTGCCCGCAGCTCACTGTGTTTTAGTTGTAGGGGTACAAATTTTTTTAAACTATAACATTTAAATTAGCCAAAGTATGCACTTGTGTTTGTATAATTTAAATGTTACAGTAAATCTAATACCTTGGAAAATTAGCTATATTATTTTTATGCACTACTTTTGAAAAATTTTTTTTATTAGGAGATATTTCAGAATTAAAATCCCACTATTGTGATTTTTTTCAAAGGCTTTCTTTTATTTTGAGACCTTCAAGTCTGCTGGAAGCATGTCATCTGCTTGTTTTGGTTTGTTTCTTAACTATGACTATACTGCAAGTTAATCTTGGATGCAAACCATTCTTTCCAGTGTAGGGGGAAACCCTGACATCTAGCAGTGTGATCAAATTAAGTATTGCATTTTAAGTTATCTTAAGCCCATATGAAAGGCAATAAAGCTCTCTACATGTAAGGAAGGGTGGCAACTGCAAAATTAATTACATAGTTACAGAGTCATAAATATCTGTAGCTTAGATGAAAAGGAGATACATTTTTGTCCTATATTTTCTCCTGTGAATTTGATCTCCCCAAAATTATAGTTTGGTTTTATTTACTATAATTTCATGTAGAAATTTTGAAACTAGGATTAATAATTATTTTCACTTTTTCTGGCTGATTATCAAACTGATAGTAACAATAAAATCATATTTTTAGGAAACCTAAACTTATAAGAAATTTTTTAAACCTGAATCATGTAAAAGCTATGGTCTTTTTGAGATGAGACCTTGTTTCCAGTTATATTATTATTTAAGGGTTTAAAAAGAGAGAAGAAAAAGGTTATCAAACTAACAAATTTCTCTTTTAGTGCTATGCACATACACATACATACACAACCTTTAAATTACTGGGTTAAATATAAATCCAACACATCCACACACACAAACCTTTAAATTACTGGATTTAAGTACAGTGCCAGTACACAGCTATTTTTCTGTTCCTCTTCTAATGAGCATCTTTGATTTGTTACATAAAATATTATGAGAATTTCAATATTCACATATACCCAAAACTAACTTATGCTGGTATATTAGAAAGAAGAATAGTGTCTACTCATAGACCTATAGCACTTGCTAATGACATGGAATTGTTAGAAATCTGACTTTTTATCTGCAGGAATTTTCAACTAAGTGTTTGTCTGGTATTTAAATATATCCTTCTACTATTTGCAATGAACTTACTAACACATTTTAAATAACGTTTTTCTGTAACAAAGAATATTAATGAATACCAGCATTTTATTTTCCTACTTATACATCTAATACTTCTCTTGATTTGACTACTTCAGGCAGTCATTCCATAAAGAATCTTGTATAATTAAAAAGTACAAAAAGCATAAAAGTAGGCAAATGTGAAAATAGTTTCAATATATTTTAGGATTCCTGTATGTTAAGCATGTTATTGAATTATGTGACCATCATAGCTAAGTGCTGTAACTTTGCAGTTAGGTATTTCACCTCTTTTTAAATGTGGAAACTTGATCTTAAATATTTTTAAACTGGACCTGTATTATCATGAATATAATATTTTAAACTTTAAAAAATGACTTCTTTGTTGTGCTTTAACATACTTTCATATCTAATTGTTATAGTAATTGGCTTATATTTGGATTAATTTAACTATTATTTACAACCTCGTATTTTTCTGCATTCTTTACTCCTGTGACATCCCCTCCTGGGGGTTTCCCAGCTTCCTTACGTAAAGCTCATAAATGAACTATGGGGAAATAGAACATTTTATGAGTGAAAATCATAGTTGATATATGATATCAAAATGCAATGTTCTTTCAGAAACTCACATAGGTCACAATTAAACTCCATACCTTTTTAGTGTATTGATTCCATTTGTTTCCTTTGAGAAGTATTTTTGTTACATAGCAGACAATTTTTCTGAAGGTGAAGGGAGAGGTGAGAGGACATAGCTCCTCTGGAGGAGTATTCAAAGAGAATACTTTCAGAATTATATTTTAATTTGTGATACTAATTTCATTTATTTACTTTGAGAATTATGTCTTAACTTATAAAACTAAGCACATTTTTATATGTGCTGAGACTGAACATCAAGCAAAAATGCTCAGATGTGTGAGACTGGGTATTAAGTCTAATGAATATTGCTTTCACTCGAAGGTAAATCATCAGAAGTATTCCCGTGTAGGAGTTTTAGTGGCACAGTTTTTAAAAATGTTTTCCAGTTAGTAATTAGCTAACACAAAGACAGGAGAACTCTTTCAGAAAAGGTCCTTCATGTGGAAAAATAATTTTGGTTTTGTGTTCTTCCAACGTTATCATCCGTATCCTTTTCCTTCACCTGAACCGTGTTATTTGCGCAGTTCAAGGAGTAACCAAGGCAACCTGATGTAATAAATTTCCATTCTTCACCCATGCAAACTCTTCCAGTATCCCAGATTCTAATGTTATTCACGTCATACGTCAGTGCTGACATAACAAAGATCTGAGAGCAGGGACTTGCTGGCCTGCCTTCTCTCGTGGTAGTTAAATGCTTGCATTCACCCACCTTCCCACTGAATAAGATTATTTATTTATTATTTGTTAATAAGTTTATTTTTGAAATTATTCAAACCTTTGCAACCTTTCCCTGTTGGATTGCTACAGCCACACAGAGGTGCAAAGTAAAAGTTCGTCAGAGACCGTGATACCCATTTTTACCTTCCTTTCATACCGGTGCGGTAAACCGTCCCAGCTTCTTACTAAGCCGTGGTTAATGCAGTGGTTGGTTTATTCTCACCTGCGGGAAGTGCTTTCTCTCTGCTTGGTTTGGTACCCGGAACTTCAAAAATGTCACCTCATCCTCAGAAAGTTGCAACCGAGAAAAGAAGCTGGGCAGGGCCCTAAGATTGGTAGCTGCACCAGTGAGGCTGCTGCTGCTTACTTACCTGCTCAGGATTGCTTTCCCAGGTTTTGGTTAAAATGGAAACGTTCGTGGAGAGGACAGTGTGTTGTAGCTCCGACGTGGAGGGTGGGGGTACAGATGCTATCACTGGTGACTGAACCCCCAGTCATTTCCCACTGCAAAGTCTGCAGTGAACAATGGACTGTGCTATTTACTTTCAAAGACAGTGACTGAAAAGATCACACATATGATCAAATTTTAATGAGGTCAGTAGACACTCTGGAGATTAAAAGATTATAAGCAAAGCCTTGGCTCACCTCCCACCCTTACGCTGCTTCAGAAAGCGGAGTCTCTAGGCAGGCAGAAATCTGTACACAGTTCTTCATCAAGGTCGGGCAGGACATGATGTTTTCTGTCAGGGTCATACAGGTGAGTATAGGCACTTTTTGCCTTCTCATTGAACTGTGATTAATAGTTGTACTGTTTGTTTATTATTTATAGCAGAATCCCTCAATTCATCCTATTTAGTGAACATTAAAGGAGAATCATTTCTCTGTGAGGTGATTTTGAAGAAGTCATTTTAGAAAACTGCCTTTTGACACATTGCCACCATAGATTCAGATATGTGTGAAAGACAAACTAGAGCTTTTGCAATTAGGTATTCTCTTCCAGGCAGGTCTTTTTGTGCAGTTTAGTTGAGAACATAATTATTAGGAAAATGGTGAAAAGCAAATTCAAACAAATTCTAAGTTAAGCTTGAAAAATTGAGGTTCTTAAATTCTCTCTGATGCATAAAGGGTAGAAGCAAAGGAATTACATTCCAAAGCCAAGAAAGAGGGTGTACAAAAGCAGCTGATCCACTTGACATAGTTCATAGCCTTTTGCAAAGGAATAAAAGCCTGTTGAGCGGGGAACCAAAAGATCTCATTATAGAAGGAAGCCAAGCCATATTAAAGCTTGTGCACTAGTAACTATGTCTAAAAACAGCCTGCTGTTTTATATTGAACCAATACATTTCTTAACTTGGTAGGTTGCAGTGTAAAGATGTACAGAGCCTGTCTGCTGGATGCTATGCCAATTACAGATGTGGCGGAGTGGTGTCAAACCCCTACAAACACTTAGTAGCGCGCACAGTCTTAGAGTGAAACAAAAGGAGTTTTGAAATGTCACCTCAAAAACCTAGAAAGCACGCTGCATCTTGTGTGTCTGACTCTGAGAGTTTTCAAATCACCTCTATTATATAATTTAACGTGGATGTCACAGGACCCCTCACTCGGAATGCACAATTCTTTCAAGGACATGAGAGAGAAGGGGAGTTTCTTTCAAAGTAAGAAAGATACAGTTGACACGGCGTCTCTGATCAGCTCCGCAGAAACTGCATTACCTTGGTATTGAGGGGAAGGAAATGCGAACTACCCAAGAATACATATTACGTTAGATTTCGTTAGATCCTCAGAAAGAATAATTGGGCATATTTACACAATTACATTTTAGTAAACTATTATGCCGGTTTAACTATATAATACATATTCTGGTAAAAATACATTAAATTGCAATCCAAAAGCAATTTAGCTGCTGAGGACATTATTTTTTATCTAATTACTCACAAATTAATGAATAAAATTAAATTCCAATCACTGAAGAAAATGAAGCCATGGTGGGAATCAGAACTACCGGTTAGTTACAGCAAAGATCTGCAATGCATAAAAGAATGAAAGCATTTCTTTTATTCAAGCTCAGTGCTTAAAAAAGAACAAATCCATCATCTGGAAATTTGACTTGTAGCTTGACATTAAAAATAATATGAGTAGAATTTTCAGTGGGGTAAGCACAAAACTAGTTCAAGTTGTGTCACTCTCAATTACTGTGCTCGGGTGGTGTACCCATTAAAATTCCCACTTGTGGGTTCCGCTTGCTATGCAAATGGGGTCATTACCTGGAGAATTTAATTGATTATGACACTGGGAGTAGGACTTTTCCTTTCAAAATAAACCTACTTACACACATTTTCACTAGAAATTTGATTTTTGTGTACACTTGGATTATTTTGTTCTATAAACACCTACTAAAATTAGACTGTTCCTGCATATTTATTTCTTGGGAATAATTCAGTGGATCCAAATTACTTTGATATGGCTTTACCTGTAAGCCAGCGAGAAGGAATCTTTTTAATATGT